TGTTCTACTCCATCTATTTACTGATTCTGTAGTTTGTAAACCAGCAAGGCATGGACTGGAGTTATTTCTCTTATGCTTGGGGTTATGCAACCTACACTACTACTGAAGGCATGCAATATTGTTTTACATTGAATATGGTGGTTCCTCAAACCTTGTTTCAAAATGCTTATGTATTCTGGTTTCTTCACCTTCCCATTAGAAAATTTAGACTCAGTTTGTCATATTCTTTATTATAAAAACGTATTATTGACTTGATTGGAATTGATTAAAATTGGAACCAGTCATGTTTACTAAGTTGAGTCTTCTAGCCTAGAAACTGTGGGATCTCTCCATTGCTTTAGGTTTTCTTGAAGTATTTCAGTGTATAAGTTCTATATGTTTTACTGGTCCTATACCTGAGCATCTCCCTTTCCTGGAAGCAATAAACATTTCAAATTTCTGTTTCCCTTGTGCATTGCTAATACATAGAAATAGAGCTGACCTTTGTGTATTTACCTTGTATTTTGTGACCTTGTAAACTTAGTAGTGTTAGGTGTTTCTGCTCCTTAAAAATGTTTTACATTGGAAATGTCTGCTAATGGACTATAAAGGGACCTCCCTGGGGACAAAGGGCATGTGCAGATCTCAAGCCTCGTCCCAGAACCCTAGCCATTGAAGTGTGATGTGTTCTCTCTCCTATCCCATTCCACCTTTTGAGTTTATCAATCAGCCTTAATATCAGATGTGCCATAAAACCTAGGATATCTCCACCACAATGTGTCTACTGTTAAAATAGGGAGGGACGGAGGGACGGACTAATGAAGATCCTGAAGATCCTACAGGGAACAAACTCTGGCACTGTCTCTTCTTAAACGCAAATGTATATACTTTTGTCACTCCTTTCTATGTATTGACCACAACGGTGCAATGGTAGCCCATTGTTATCACACAGCAGATTGTCTATACAGCGTAAGATGCCCGCAGGAAGAACACAGCAGCTCCTGCATAAGTTCACTGATTCTTCTCAAGGCCAGGAGAACATAGAGAACATGTCTTCTGATACATGCCCATCATAGTGAAACACAGTCTCCTCCTGTAAACCCTGCAGGAGAATAAGAACACCGAGTTCCCTGTCTACTGGTCCAACCTGATTTTTTGCAGCCAGAGTTGTTCCTGTCTCCCTTTCCTTCCCTTCAGTAAAATTTGCACACATTTTAAGGCTCTGGTTCGTATAGTTTGGTATTTGAGCCAGGAGATTGCACATATTCAGTTACACTAATGTCAGGCGTTCTGCTTCCTTTTAAGTTGTGCCTTTTGGTTTCTCCCTTTATTGTGTCAGAGAGAACTTATGTTTCTTACATGTTTTTCTGTACCAGGCTTCTTCTTTCGGGCCACCAAACAGCTCCCATATTATGACACAGAGACGTATTAGTTTTGAATGCTCAGTCTAACCCAGGCACGTTTCTGCTAGCTCTTTTAACTTAACCTGTCTCTCTTTATCTATCTTTGCCGTGGGGCTTTTACTTTTCTTTCCTTCTGGATGTGTTACTTTCACTGCTTCCCTTGTCTGTCTGCCTGACTTCTGGCCCCCAGGCATGTCTCTCCTCTTGAACCTAGATTTCCCCTCCTATTTATTCTCTCTGCTCAGTAACCCACCTGTCCCTCTCCTGCCTAGCTGCTGGCCAGTCAGCTTCTTAAGCAGGCAAGGTAAAACAGATGCAACACATCTTTACATAGTTAAACACATACTCTTACATCGTTAAACAAATGCAGCATAAATAAATGTAACACACCTTCACACGGTTAAAGCAATATTCCACAGCATAAACAAAAGTAACACACCTTCACACGGTTAAAGCAATATTCTGCAGCATAAACAGATGCATCTTTGCCCAGTTAAAGTAACATTCCACAGCATTTTTCCTTCTCCTCTGCACTGTTCCCCTCCTCTTCCAAGTTCTAGGATCACAGCATGCCCCATCCCTAGTAGTCTGCCATGACAGGGCTTATATTTAGACCCTACTCCACTTTTAGTTAATGGTTGTCAGTAGCAGAAGGTAAGGGACCAGCTTCATTCTTTTGCATTTGATATCCAGGCTTTTTGTTTATTTGGTTGGTAGTTACTTTGTTGTTGCTTTTTTTTTTCTTGTGGGGACTAGGCAAGTGCCCTGCCACTAACCAGTGGCCCTTGTTTTTATTAAGATCAGGTTTTGCTATGTAGTGCAGGCTGGTTTTAAACTTGCAGTGAAGCCAAGGCTGTTCTCAAATTCGTAATCTTTCTGCCTACACTCCTGAGTCTTGGGTTCATATGTCACCACTGTACCCTGCTGGTGTCCTCTCTGCACCATCTCCTTTTGTGTTCATAACCTAGCTGTTTCCATGCGTTTTACTTTTTTAAAAAATATTATTAGTCTGGTTAGATCTTATTAGTGTTTGGTGTATTTCCGTCTTGAGACTTAAATGTTTTTTCTCTTGTATGCATCTTTACTTGGAGTCTGCGTTTCCGTGCAGTCTAGAAATATGTGTGTGATTTGAAGGCACTGTTTAAAATACTCACAGACTTGTTTTCAGTGGGCACCAACAGGAAGTCCCATGTACTCGTTTCCCACAGTGGGGACATCACGTGTGGCTTGAGCACGAGGCGTTTACAATGATGAGCACATTTCACCTGTCTTTTGCACTAGCTCGTGTGTATGTTATCATGTGCACATTCGTGTGAGGGTGCCCTACACACAGTTCCATCAGTGCATTTGGATCTCTTCTGTTTTCTATTTAAAGCCATAGCTCCCCTCTCTTGCCCTCCCTTTCCTTCAGAACCCCCATCTCTGTGGTCCTGTCATCTGAGACTTTCACAGACAGTGGTGCTCTGGGTAATGTCTCAGGACTTCAGTAGAAACCTGAGACTATAGATTGCACACATCCAGACAGTTTTACATGCACACAGATACTTGGAAAGACAAGTTGTCCTCTGCTCTCTACATGTGTGTCATACACTTGTGTGCCCACTCCTGTACCATACACACCACCATCATCCATGAAATTTAACTTGTAACTTAAGCTCAGTAATAAATTAGTAGCATTTAATGAGACATAATAATTATGCGAACATACTATAATAAAAGTGCATGAATGCAATCCCCTCCTTTCTCTCAAAATGTCTTACTATACCATACTCTTCTTGTGTTGACAATACCACAGTACTTAGACAATGAGATGAAGGATGGTGGTTCTGGATGCAGCATTAGGCTACTATGTATGGGTTACCTGAGATACACACACTGCAATACTGTTGGAGAAGGGGCTGCTTGTTGTTTCCCAGCCACCCGGCTAGCTTAGACCCAAAATAATAACACAGAAACTGTTAATTAAATTGCTGCTTGGCCCATTAGCTATAGCTTTTTATTGGCTAACTCTTACATATTAATTTAACCCGTTTCTATTAATCTCTGTATCACCACATGGCTGTGGCTTACCAGCAGAGTTTCAGCACGTCTGACTTTGGTGGCAGCTCCATGGTGTCTCTCTCTCTCTCCATCTTTTTTCTTCCAACATTCAATACAGTTTTCCCCACCTACCTAAGTTCCGCCCTATCAACAGGCCAAGGCAGTTCCTTTATTCATTAACCAATAAAAGCAACACATAAACAGAAGGACTTCCCACACCATTTCCTCTCTTCTGTTTAAGTAAAAAGGAAGGCTTTAACATAGTAAAATTACATATAACAAAACAGTTATCAATCAAGAATTACAGTTACAATGTTTATATTTACTTTATCTTTTATCATAACTAAGGAAAACTATATCTATTCTTCAATTCCATCAAAGACTCCAGAAGGATATAATATTACCTAAGTAAACAGGAAGTGCATTGCAAGCAACTTCTAAAATTCCAGAATTGACAGAGATATCTAGAATTGACAGAGACCGACCTGGACAGTCACCCAAAGTTCTTCTTAACATTGGGGGATCCATCTTTAGCCTACAGGCCCATAGTATCCAACAGACTTTTCCACAAAGCAGAAAATTTCAAAGATAGTTCCACCTATATTGGCAGTTTGTCAGTCACTTTCTTCTGTATCCTGCAGAAAATCTCACAGATTCTTTCATGAAGCAGGAACCCGGAAGGATCACAATACCAACCACAGCAGCTACTACTTGCTAATGGGTGGATTACGTCTACAGATTGAAGACACTAAGCAAGCACATGATTTGCCTCCTGAGCAGGGTTGACAGGACTGGACAAGAACTTGCCTGCCCCAGGGCTGGAGAGATGGCTCAGAGGTTAAGAGCAGTGGCTGCTCTTCCAGAGGACCTGGGTTCATTCCTAACACCCACATATCAGCTCATGACTATCTATAAATCCAGTTCCAGGGGACCTGGCACCCTCACAGACATGCTTGTAGGCAAAACACCAATGCACATAAAATAAGAATAAATAAAAAAGAAGTTAGCCTGTTTAAAAAAAAAAGAGCTTACCTGCTCCCTAGAATCACCAGTTTCTGTTTAGAACCTTCCAATTATTTGTTTCTAGTGAGTTTCTTTTAATTTTTTAGACCAGGGTTGATTGCATTTAAATTAAAGATGGTTATGCAGAGTGTCTACAGACTATGCCTCGGCCTGATTGTACCACCAGTTCAAAAGCTTTGAGACTTCTGGGAACACAGCTGTGCCCCTGCATATTCTCACTGGGGCTACTCTTACTACCGAGGAAGAACTGAGCAGTTGTGATGGGGTACAAATGACCCTCAGAGTCAAAGTTACTTACTTGTTGACTCTGAGGAAATGGTTTTGATTGTATTACTTGCTTTCTATTGGCTCTGATTTGGTTTCTGCTTCTTATGACCGGGCATCTTAAAGATGTTCTTCCACTGATGTAGTTAGCTGAAGTGAGTCATGTGACATTCAGTGTCAAGTTGCAGGGCGTCCAGCTTGACCCATGTGGTTTCATGTATCATATTGATAAATTATAATCATAATGCCTTTTAGTTTATCTTTGTGTTTCATTGTTTTTTAACATTTCAGAAAACTATGATGACAATTGAAGGAACTTTGAAAGATGTCTGAAGTTTAGTGGCTACATCTGCCTTCTGTCTTCTCACCCCTAAAACGGAATAAGGAATAAATGGGATGTTTCAGAACAGAGCTACATAAAAAGAGCTTTGCAAATGGCTTCAGAATCTACCAATGGGAAACCAGCTAGGAGTCACGTGACAAAGGGGAGGCGCCAGCACCAGCCAGCGAGGAGCAGGTCCTCTGTCAGCGAGTGCGATGGCGACTCCTTCACCTTTGAAGCCAACGAGGCGTGGAAAGACTTCCATAGCTCTCTCCTCCGGTTCTACGAGAACGGAGAGCTCTGTGATGTCACTTTAAAGGTGAGGTCTTTCCTTTCCCCAGCTTCTTTGGCACAGCACGGAAAATGAGAGTTCTGTTCTTACAAAAATTAGGTGTCATACTGTTCTGTCATTACCTTAGTCTCAGTTCTTTGTGAATCGGTGTCTCCTGGGTAGCTCACGATAGCCTTGAACTGACGATCTTTCTGAGTGTGGGATTACAGGTGTGTGCTGCACTGTGCCTGCAAATAGGCACGCTTTTATGCTAATTTACTGTTGTTCTTTTTATTGGAATTTTTCATATAATATATTCTGATCACACTTTCCCCTCCCTCACTTCCGCCAGATCTCCCTACAATCTACCCACCCAACTACACACACATACACACACACACACACATGCACGTGCATGCTTTCTAAAATAAACAAACAAAAATACAAACAACCCAAGGAGGGAGACAAGAAACACACACAACGTCCACAAAATCAGAAACTAAGATACACAAGCAAAAGACGAGTAAGACAAAAAAACTGCCCCAATAAAGCACATGAGACAAAAGTCTCCACAGTACCATTGAGGTCATTTGTCCTGGGCATGGAGCCTGCCCTTAAGTGTGATTCCATTGGAGAAAACTAACGTTTCCTTTTTAAGTGGTTATCAAATGGAGACAGCTCCTTGGATGGGAGCAAGCCCACTTCCCCCTCAGCACTGGGACCCCATCTGGCTTGGATCTGTACAGGCCCTGTGTGTGCTGCCGCAGGCTCTGTGAGGTCCTGTGTGTCAGTCCTGCTGTGTCTGCAGAGCAATTCCCTCGGTGTCATCCGTGCCCTCTGGCTCCTGCAGGCCTTCAGCTTCCTCTACA